AGAGCTGAGGTAGCCACGGCAACAGCTCAGAGAGACATGTGCCAACATGCACATGAGCAGTGGGGAAGCCGGGGAGATGGAGCCTGTCTAGGGCAGTGGTCTCCAGCCTTTCTAACCACAGGATCGCTTTTTCAATGTCAGTGCAATGTAAGATCTACCTCAAACCCAAATACCCTTGCCCCGCTTCCTTCCCGCCCCTTAGAGCTGAGGTAGCCACGGCAACAGCTCAGAGAGACATGTGCCAACATGCACATGAGCAGTGGGGAAGCCGGGGAGATGGAGCCTGTCTAGGGCAGTGGTCTCCAGCCTTTCTAACCACAGGATCGCTTTTTCAATGTCAGTGCAATGTAAGATCTACCTCAAACCCAAATACCCTTGCCCCGCTTCCTTCCCGCCCCTTCTTTGAGGCCCCGCCCCTGCTCCACCCTTCTCCCTCCATCGCCCTTCCTCCCATCCTCACTCACTTGCACCAGGCTGGGGTAGGGGGTTGAGGTGCAGGCTCTGGGCTTGGACCAAGGGGTTTGGCGCTCCGGGCCCAGGGAAGGGAATTGGAGTCCAGGAGGGGTTTCAGCAGGCAAGCTCTGGGAAGGAGTTTGGGTGCCGGGGGACTCATGTCTGGGGCAGGAGGTTGGGTGTAGGAGGAGGCTGAGGGCTGGGACGGGTTCAGGAAGCAGGCTTTGGCTCGGCACCGCTTAACTCAGACGGCTTCCAGGTGGTGGAGCAGTGGGGTTAAGGCAGCTTACCCCTGCCCTGGCCCTGCACCGCTCCTGGCAGGCAAGCTCTGGGAAGGAGTTTGGGTGCCGGGGGACTCATGTCTGGGGCAGGAGGTTGGGTGTAGGAGGAGGCTGAGGGCTGGGACGGGTTCAGGAAGCAGGCTTTGGCTCGGCACCGCTTAACTCAGACGGCTTCCAGGTGGTGGAGCAGTGGGGTTAAGGCAGCTTACCCCTGCCCTGGCCCTGCACCGCTCCTGAAAGCAGCAAGCATGTACAGCAGTGGCTCCATGGTGCCATGCGCTGCCCCTCATCTACAGGCACTGAGCCCACAGCTTCTTAGGGCCACGGTTCCCTGCAGGTGCGGTGTCTACAGGCCAGGGCAGCATGTGGAGACCCCCTGCTCTGCCTCTCTCAGGGGCTGCAGGGACCTGCCAGCCACCTCCAGGAGCAGCATTTGCCACAGAGATAATGACTCCAGCCCCGACAGGTCAGGCATGTTAGAACTCACTGCTCAAAGGGTTACATTTAAGCGTAAAAGAGAAATGAAAGTGATGAAATGCCCACAGCAGTCAGAAGCCACAAATAACCCACTGTGCACGCAGTAACAGAAGTCACAACCACCCGCGTGTGTGTTGGGTCGGGCGCTGAGAGGGAAGGGCGGGGTGTGTTTGTGAGAGTGACAGACACACACACAGTGTGTGAGAGGGACAGAGATGTGTGCTGCCAAGCTCCCTCCTTCTCCTTCTCTCCATGTGAGACAGGGTAGAGGAGTGGGGGGAAGGAGGGACACGGACATCAGCACCCCCTCTCTTCGCCCCCCCACATCCTGCACAGTGAGCAGGAGGCTCCCAGGGGGCAGCTCCAAGGCAGAGGGCAGGAGCATCATGACAGTGGGTGGAAGGGCAACTGAAGTGCCGGCACTTGGTAGCTTCCCAGCCAAACCAGTCAGGATTGCCTGTCAGAGGCATCTACCGGGAGATCTACCGGGAGATCCCGATCGACTGGTTGGTGACCGGCCTAGGGGAAGGGGGCAATTCAGGCAAGCAAACATATTTGTGCCTCCAAAACGCAGCAGCCTGTCGGAAAGCCGACCACCGGGGAAAGCAACCCACTTACTGGCTAGTGATGGAGGCATTGGTGGCTGGATGGGGTAGGCTGGTTGTGCAAATGGTTTAATGCTGAAAAACAAAGTGCATCGTTAGGCAAGTTAACGAGACTCATTTATAAGGCGTCCTCCCGCCTCCCGTCCCACCTCCTCCCCCTTGGGAGCTGGCAGACGCTTCCTGGTCAATGAAGACAAGAAGATCTCAATCCAAATCCATATTGCGTGTCCCGTCTCGTGCAGACACCAGCTGCTGAGTTTCATCTGCCTTCCCCACTCTCCTCTCCCCAACAGGGAAAGGACTTTGCAGCCCCTCCCAGAACTCTCCACCGTGCAACCCGCCCTCTCCCGACACACCCGGGGGTTGGTGTCAATGCAGCTTTTGGAGGCCGATGTTCTCAGCACCCGGGGCAGTCGGGGGATGCTGTGGCACCCCAGCAGCACCAGCGCAGCTGGGTCCCTAGGGATCACCAGGAGCAGGTCACCAGCAGTCCTCCTTCCATTCCTCTGCTCGCACGGCGTGAGCAGTGGCCAGGCCAACCCAACCCCCCCCCCCAAACCGGTGCTAGAGGGGAGCTCTGCACACGGCTTTCTGACCCGCTCCTGGCTACAGGAGCCTGCCACGTGCACGGGGTTGTTCTCCACACACCTCTCACGGGCAGGCTTAAAAACGTGCACCCCAGAGATTTGCCTACGCTGGCAGAGCTGGGCTTAGGCCACCGGAGCCTGGCCCAGGTCCCTGCGCTAGCCATCACGCCACATTGCTGAGTCTCTCGGGCTGGCATAGGAACTCAGGGCGACAAGCCATAATAGGTCTGATCCAGCCGGGAGGGGTCTCCTTACTTACTCCTGAGAGGGTCCAGGCTGTCCTGGGATAGACCCGCTCCAAAACTGGGGAAACAAAAGCGCACACAAAGGCACAGTCAGGGACCGAACAGCAGCATATTCCCACACCTTTTACTGCCCCTCGGGGCAGTCACTAAACCCCACGCATAATGAGAGTAGTCAACCTGTGGAACTCCTTGCCAGAGGAGGCTGTGAAGGCTAGGACTATAACAGAGTTTAAAGAGAAGCTAGATAATTTCATGGAGGTTAGGTCCATAAAAGGCTATTAGCCAGGGGATAAAATGGTGTCCTTGACCTCTGTTTGTCAGAGGCTGGAGAAGGATGGCAGGAGACAAATCACTTGATCATTGTCTTCGGTCCACCCTCTCTGGGGCACCTGGTGCTGGCCACTGTCAGTAGACAGGACACTGGGCTAGATGGACCTTTGGTCTGACCCAGTACGGCCGTTCTTATGTTCTTATGTTAGAGCCGAGCTGGACACGACGCCTTCTGCAGGAAATCTGCTAGGCCAGCAGGGAAGTGCAGGAGCTAGGAGCTCCCCTAGGGCCACTTCTCCTGCCCCCTTCCTCAGCAATGCCAGCTGGGGGGAGAGACTGGGACCAGAGTAGCTGTGAGTTCCCTTGCAGCCGTCCCTCCCCTGCTGTTCCCAGGGTGGCAGCTGAGCCGGAGGTAGCCTGCCCCTTCAGGCGGTGTTCCTAGCCCATTCCACGTGGCAGACTCTGCAGGGCTGGGAACACGGAGGGGCCCTTCCTCTCCCCTGGGGAGCGCAGAGCCGCTTACCCTGGGGGCAGCAGAGAAGACAGCCTGAGGAAGAGGAGGAGGGGGGGTGAGTTTGTTCTGCAGGACGCTGGCGGATACGATCTGTGCGGATGACATGGAGGCCATACTCTGCAGGGCCTTGTCCTTCGAGACCTGGTCCTGCGAGAGAGGAGAGGAGGAACAGGAAGCGTGGTTACCGACCCGGACCGGACAGGGATGTAGACAGACTGACAGACACGGATTACCCCCTTCAGCCCAAAGGAACCCAGTGCACTTTACAACACAAAGGGATCCCGTCAAACCCCAGACATGCAGCCACCTCTGGGGTGGGGCACAGCAGCTGTTTATCATTGCTATGCCTGGTTACACCACTGCCTAGGAGAATGATGCAGCCAGTGAAACAGCAGGGGGAACGAGAACAGAATCTCCCCTCCTCCCCCCTCAGTGGAATTTGCCCCATTAACATCCCAAGGGAATGCTGCGCTCAAGTGGCCAGGGGTAAGTTTTATGTCTCACGGGTGAGAGGCCCTCTAGCAGCACTGCACTGGAGCAACAGCTGCACCCAGACTCAGAAGGAAGACAGCCCCCAAACCACTAATTCCAAGGGAGAGGGCCAGGGAGTACTACAGGGATAGAAGTTTAAAGAACGTAACTCCAAACTCGAGCACTACTTACCAAGTTCATGGCCTGTATGTAAAAGAAAGGAAGAGCAATGGTTAGTATGGTCTGCAACAATCCCGGAGCAGAGAGGCGTCTTCACCTTATAGGAACCACTAACATACTGACCATTCAAAAAAACCAAGGGATGTCACTATTCGACTACTTGCTTCCCCCACCCCTTGCTGCCTCTGTATCAGAGGCAGCAAGGGGGGGGGGGGGGGGGGGCAGGAGCTAGTGCTGGGGGTAGCCAGTCTGAAAGTCAGTCCCCCCCCAGCACTATCTCTGTGGTGTGCGAGTGGGGCAGGTGGAGCCAGCCACGCCCGGGGGGTTCACCCCACTGTGGCTCTGCATTTTAAATGCAGCCCCCAGCAGTCCTGGAGCCAGTATGAGCTGGGACTGCTTAGTCCCACCTTGCACTGGCCCCCGGAGCTACCCCCGGGCTCCTACGACATTTAAACTGCAAAGCCGTAGAGGGGGGGATCGAGAGTTTATCGACTAATGGAGAGGTCAATGAGAATTCCATCGACTACTCGATTAGCTCATTAACTGCTACGTAACGTCCCTACTACTAAGTGAAGCTAAAGATAGTGAGCCCAGGGCTGAATGGGCACAAAGCAACCTTTCGGGGCGGACACATGTATGCGTGTGATGTACGGACTGGCCGTGGATGCACACACGGGTCTATCTGCGCACATGGCAGAAAGGCAAGGAATGAGGAGGGTGTGGCTGGATACGAACAGTGGCCCCAGAACCATTCTGAATGGGGGTGCAGCAGCATCCCCGGAACGCCCAGTTCCAGCCTGAAGGCATGTGAACAGAGGGGATGTGTAAAGGTAGCTCTGAGTGGGAACAGGAATGGGGAGATGCTGGGCAGAGGAGAGGAAGAAATCCGTCTCAGCTGATTGATGACGGACTGATTTGTGTGCACCCACCCCACATGGACACGTGTCGGCACGTCGATCCTCGATTGGGCGGCTGGATCGTCTTTGTTTTTAACATCAAAGGCTTTCCCATTCACTACTTCATAAACGTTTTAAACCTGACAAAAAGTGAAATGAGAAAACAGGAGGCAAAACTGACCTCCGCGTATCACACTCAGCGCCAGGGATACAGGGGAGGCGCCACAGGAGGGGGAGGATTAAAACCAGGACATAAATGTGCATCTGCATCAGCAGCTCACATCCTGCTATACAAACTGCAAGGGTCTCAAAAGCACAGCTCCCATTTGGGCCTCTAAGGAGGGGGCACCTTTTCAGAAGGGCTCAGTGCCCGGGGGGCACACTGGGTGTGGAGCTCTAGAAAATCTGACCCTAGAGATTTGTGCGTTTCTATGAAAGGCAACCGGTAGAAGGAGCAGGTTTCTTTTTTGCAAGAACTATTTGGCTCACTGAGCAGGAACAGAGGGTTCTGCAATTTTTCCCAGCACATCTGTGGTCATCTTAGTGTTTGCTTATTACGTATGCATGCCCTGATCACCGTATGCATCAGCTACTGCTTTTCCTCCTCAGAGCTTCACTGGACCGTGGACCAGCTGACTTGCTTGGAACCAATTTTAAGGGCACCCAGAGACTAAGGAGATGGACATGTTTTAAAAATCAATACTAGACAGTCCTGTGCGTGGGATGCACACGGATGGATACTCCTTCGAGGTGCACTGAGAATGGAACAGCAGTTGGACATGGCTGTATTAAGAGGGTCACAAAAAGAAAATTTGGCTGTAACACACACAGCATCCAAAAACACCCTGAAGTAAGTGCCCCCACATTTCTCTTCTAAGGAGTGAGCAGGGCCAGTTAAGTACAGCCTCCTTCCCCACCACAGTCCCTGAGAGTCCGTGGGGGCAGAGGTGTTACGGGTTTTTTTGGGGTTGGTCCTGCTTTGTGCAAGGTTTGGACTCAATGACCTCCCGAGGTCTCTTCCGGCCCATGGATTCTATGATGATGGAATTTACTAGGGACTGCATTAATAGGGAGCTACAGAAATCAGTCCCAAATGCTGGGAGATTTAACAGTGAGCCAGATCCTCTCTAGGATTTTCTGAACAATCCTATAGACTCTACAGAAGGGACAGGATTCCGTATTCAATTCTCTGGGGATTTTTGGCAAGGACTTATTACATGAGGCAGGAAGACAGAGGGCACTGGATCGAACAAATGCAGAGGGACCCGCAGAGAGACTCCTCTGTCCTGGCCCCACACCGTGCACACTAATCATAGTTATTGCACTATTATGGTGTGTTCTTCCCTTCGGTTTGCTGCATCCACCTGTTGTCTCTCGTCTTCTGCTTAAGGTCGTCAAGGCAGGGGCTTTTCGTTAAGAGTGCACACGTGTGCAGTGCCGGGCACAACGGGGCCCTGATCCACAATACAAAATGTACCACAACACCGAAAGGTGGAGCGTGGTGATGCGAACTCTCCTTTTGGTTTCAGTTGCAAAACCCCTCCCGCACCCTGCCCTGACACGTCCCCGCCCACCCGTGTCCCTGGCCCCTGGCAAACGCTACAAAGCACACACAGTGGAAACGGTTACGGAAAGGTTAGTCAAACTCCAGCTGAAAAGAGGGAACGAGAGAAAGAAAAGCCAACCAGAGAAGAGATGACATTCCAGTTTTATCCTTGCTCTGCTCCCTTGGCTCCTGGATCCCTAGCCTGACTTGTCGGCAACCAGAACCAAGGGTCTCCAGGGGAAGCCCCCAGACCCAGGCTGTCCAGCCCTGCCCTAGGGAGTATGTCCTGCCGCAAGAGCCCTTATGGCTCTAACCTCCGTCAGCTGCCCCCCTACAGACTAGAAGCACAGACCCCAATGCCCATGCACCTCCGCATGGGCTGGAGGAGTGGAGGGCCCATACCCTGAGCACCTCTCCACCTGCTGGGGACCCAGGACCTGGGGACCCCAGGAATGTGGGTTCGAGCAGTGGCCACCCAGGGAAAGTCACCACCAGCGGCCCTATTAGGAAGGCAGGATAAGGGACACCCAGAACATAGGGAGGCGGGTTCTAGGGTTACTACAGGTGGCCCACGCAGCCTGAGTCCACGAGAACCAGTCGGGACAGCGTCACACCACACAGCCACGAGCGTCAACATCGCCAGGGGAGCGTCACCCTGCAAAGCCCCCTGGTCTGGGCCCCCAGCTTCAGGCACGGAGGAGGGGATGGCAGAAGGGCCCTGCTTCTCATTCCGGCCCCTTGGACATTTTGGCTTCAGATGGGGAGGTGCCCACCAGGCTGCTCCCTCACGGTTCTCTTCCTGCAGCGGCTAATGGACGGTGCATCTCTGCAGCCCGGGGGAGGCCTTGCTTCTCCTAGCTACACGGACGCTCGCAGCCCTTGCCCACTGCAAGAGCTTGTGGGGAGGAGGAAGAGCGCCACAGGGGAAACCTGAGCCCTGCTCGCTGTGTTACTGCCTTTGGGGTGCATAGGCTCTGGCCAGCCCTTGCAACCTACCTACCAACCCAGCCTTCCCTGTTCTGCGCCAGCAGGCCCGGCCACAGGCAAGCGCTCACCACCCTGCAGGAGCTTCTCCTGGGAGGCCGCTATGTGACATCAGGAGCTTCCTAGCCAGACCTCTCCAGCGACGGCCTCCCGTTTCAGTCCCTCCCAGGCAGCCCTGTCCCAGGGAGTGTCTGGTTCCAGGAACGAAGGGAGTGGGGGAAAGACATAAAAAGGAAAGAGAAAGCAGCACACCACAGAGCTGAGTGCGTTAGTTGTCAGCACAGCCACGGCTCAGGGGCAAGCGGGGGTGGGGGAGAAGCCGGGGAGCGCGTACCTTCAGCTTGGACTGAATCTCGCGAGATTTCCGTCTGGCTAGAACCTGCAAGTGGCTAGAGACCTGCAGAGAGAAAGCAGAAGGAGAGGGAAAACAGCAGAGCCGTCAACCAGAGCAGAGGAGAGGAAGGAGAGGGGCTGCCCCATGCTCACACACCACGGACGCATGGGCAGGATCTCCAACGTACCTTAATGCCAACCTGGTACTCCCGCACCTTCTTCCGAGCTAGAACCTGTATGTGGCTGGACACCTAGAGCCCGCCAAGCCATTCAAAAAGGAAAACACAAAGAGAATGAAGACATGATCCCACACCGTGCTGCATGAGAACAGCGCGCCGAGCGCTCGAGGCACGCCGGCCAGCACGCAGGTCAGCGGCGGCCCAGGTTCCTGAGAACTAGAACTCCTCCTATGGAAAGCGAGCCACGGCGGCCACAACCATCAGGCCAGCTGCTCAGTTGCTGTACATTGCGCCAGTTTATGCCAGCCAAGGATCTGGTCCATACTGCAGGCACCTGCCCTGTAAGCGCACCCTCTTGTGCTTTGGAGCATCGTCCTAACGGTGCGACCGACGGTGGTGTGGGCGCCACGCCTAATACTTCTTGGTGGGTTTTATGCAAAAGGGGCACATCTGACCAACAAAGAGATGGCTTTTCTGACTGCCAACCCTGCACGCTCAGCCTTCTCTTTCCTCCTCTTGCATCACCATGAGGGAGGGAGATTCTGAAAGGCAAATTCTACCTGCCAACATGACCGGTGCTGCGAGGAGGAATTTGACCCTGCACTTGCAGTACAGCTAATCATTCCAGAGAAGACGCAGGAGCCAGAACAGACTCCAGCATGTGTCCCCATATCTGTGCCACACAAAGAGGAGGGTGTCATGATGGAAGTGTTCTATGTAGAAACACCCAAGGTTTCTATTTTCTATTTAGAGACCCTCCAGGTGTCTCTCTTGGGTTTCACAGAGCTGGCCTCATCTGGCCAAGGACAAGACTACACTGAAAAGAGAAAACAACCCACCTACATCACTCAGGGCTGGAAAAATCCGCCCCCCTGAGCAACATAGTTATGTCCACCTGACCCCTGGTGTAGACGGCACTAGGCAGACAGAAGAATTCTGTCACCTCAAGAAGGTGAGCAGGGCTGGTGTCCCTAGCCCGTCTGCCAGGAGCTCGGAAAGGACAATAGGGGATGAATCACTCTAATTCCCAGTTCTGTTCATTCCCTCGGAAGCACCTGGCATTGGCCACTGTCGGAAGACAGGCTACTGGGCTAGATGGGCGGCCACTGGTCTGACCCAGTGTGGTCGTCCTTATTGAACCCTAGGGTTGGAAGAGATCTCAGAAAGTCACTGGATCCAAGCCCCTGCCCAAAGCAGGACCAACCCCAACTCAATCATCCCAGCCAGGGCTTTGTCAAGCCGGGACTTATGGACTAACTGTGCAGTCAGGAGAGACCCTCCTGTGACCCACCTGAAGTGTTGCCACCTTCGCAGACAAGCCCAAAGTCTGAGCAGCTAAAGAGCGGGACCTAAATAAAACTGATTGGTTTTCAGGAACTCCACATCCCTCACTAAAGTCAATGGGGGCTGTAAACCTTGGAAAACCTTTTGGGTGCGGTGCCGGGGTAGCTGTGTCGGTCCCTGGATATCGGACACACAAGGTGCATGAAGCTGTATCTTTTATTGGACCAACTCCTATTGGGGAGAGAGACAACCTTGCAGCTACACAGAGCTCTTCTTCAGGTCTCGGGAAGAGCATCCCAGCTAAATAACAAGGTGGAACAGATACAACAGATGCGACGTATGTTACAAGAAACTACTGAAGGCGAAGTGGGCATTTAGCATATCTACAATCCTAGGACAAAGGAGGGTTAGTGGGTTAGATTGCTGTCATGAGCCATAAATCTGGGGTCTTGATTAAGTCCACCAGAGCTATGAATTTAACTTCCCAGGCTCTTCGTTGGAGGGTGTCATGATGGACGTTTTCTATGCAGAAACACCCAAGGTTTCTATTTTCTATTTAGAAACCCTCTAGGTGTCTCTCTTGGGTTTCACAGAGCTGGCCTCATCTGTGTCATGATACCGAGCAGGCGGCACTGGATCCAGCCTCAGAGCAGGTCTGGGTAGCATCATTTCCCAAACGCTCTCTTCTGACCATCAGCTGCCCCTAAATCCCACTCTCTTGCATCCAGTCCCAGCCCCTGGGCTGGCTCTGCTGTGTGTCGAGATGCCCCTGGCACGCGGAGGAACGTTTCTGACGGAGATCACCAGATTCATTTTGCTCTACGTTCAAACCTGTCTCCTGCTGATATCCACTTGTCCCATAACATCATGCCCCTCTTCTCCTCCATCTGGGCAGCACCCACCCCCTCCCCCACACACACCCATCCCCAAGACCAGGAAAGTTTATAAGGGATCTTTGCAAAGCTTTCAACGCAGAGGAAAAGTTCTACTGCACGGAGCCAAGATGGCCTTCAGGCTGTCCACGTACCTAGGGACTTCGACAGCTCTCCTCCCCAAGCACGGGGTCCAGGCGCCTCACAATCGATCTATATGTGTATCTATGTGCCATCAATGCAGCAGCAATCACTGAGAGATCTTAGCCTTCCTGGCGGGCAGGTCAACGCTCTTATCCCCAGGTTACAGATGGGGAGCGGAGGCACAAGGATGGGTTAACTGATCTGCACAAGACATTTGTGTCTGAGCTGAGCACTGAACCCTTGTTACAAGGGTTACCGGGGGAGCAGAGGTCAGATCTGCAAGGTCCCTTCGCCCTCGCCATAGCCAGTCACAGCCCCAGTGACCCATCACAGAGCCGGCCTGGCCACCACCATGGGGCTTTTAACCAGACTCACTGCCAATGCAAGCGTGAGCTTTCTGAGGCGTAGGCCGTCGGCTCCGTCCCCACCACAGCCACTCCTGCTCTCTTGGCCCCGCAGGGCAGGGAACGCCGCTGAGCTCGCACAGAAAGGGATTGGCTGCCAGCTGATTTCCAACGCGGCCCTGGCGCTAGTCCTCGGCCTGGCACACTCGCCCAACACACTACAAAGGAGCGAGGGGATGCAGGCAGCTAGTGGGAACAAGGAGCCGAACAGCAGCACGAGCGTCAAAGAGGGCTCTCTGCCCAGACCCACTGCTGACAGGGCAGTACTCTACTGCTCCATCACCACGGCACCTGAGGCACCTAGGCCCACCAGTGTCCCCGAGCTGGTGAAGAGAGGGGCGCTAGAGTGGGTCTAGAAGACGGAGTGAAAGATGCAGGATTTTGCTGTGGATCTCGAACCGCTACTGGATTTACAACGGCGCCGGTCACAGACTCCAACTGGGTCCTGGAATGGCCCGGCCTACTCCACTTGTGCTGCATCCCAACGCCCTACCAGCCTGCTGGCTCCTTTCCGCCCCTGGCTGGACCCCAGTGGGGCAGCCTCTGCTGCCCCCCACTTGTGCCTATCTCCGACCCCAGAGCCGAGCTGTGGGTGGGACCGGCAGGAAGCTGGTGGAAAGCTCAATTAACTTCCCCACCCCATGCTCCACTGCCTCCAGGAGGGCCCACAAATATGTTTGGGGCTGGGCCCACAGAAGGTTACCAGTGGCCACGCAGAGGTGGAAGCTGGCCTGGCCTAGTGAGAAGCAAGGCCCTGTGTGCACAATCCAGATCCAAGTTCAAATCAGGAGGAGCTTGGGTTCAGGCCCGGATGCACCCTGAAGCGATGAAGAAGGTGGGTGGTCGGGAGTGCAGAAAACTGGAAGACCCCATGAGCCCTAGCCCCCATTGTAAGCCTAACTCCAAATCACATGACTGGAAATGTTCACTCAACATCTCCCATGCCCGTCTGGCCACCACGGCTGCCTCTGCTCTGCAGGGGTCCCCGCGTGAAGGCAGCATGCTCTCGGGATGTGGCTGTGCCCAGCGGGGATCTCGCGAGGCTCAGGGCTGGGCGAGGCTGGGCTACGCAGGCACGCTCCGGAGCGCCGATCCCAAACTCGGTGGGACTGTCCCTGAATGAGACCTCACGAGCGGAGAACCTGCTGGACATTAGTGCACGAGCCTCTACTGCGACTGCTAAAGGAGGCCGTTCTCTTAGCCAAGGCTGCGGCCGATTTAATCTCTAGCTGAACTAGTCCCCCTGGGAGGTGGGGAGAGCGTCACACTAAGCAGGCACAGAGACCGGGAGGTTCAACAGCCCCGACTGCCCAGTGAGCTGGAGCCCACAGAAGGAGATAAGACAACTGTGCAGGAACAGGCCAGTTCCCGGACCTCGAGCATCTGATAAGCAATGGGGTGGGGGTGGGGGGGTCTTGACCCACATTTTCCCCTTTGCGGGGCTGTAGCAGTTCCCAGCGAGCTTGACTAGTCATGTCTGAGACCCCCCCGTGGCACAGCTCAGCATAACTCTCACTGCACAGATGGGGAAAAGCGGGCACACCGAAGCGAAACAGCAGGCGGGCAGAGCGAAACCCCGGCATCCGAACCCCCGCTTTGCCTGCCCGTCCTCACAGTCTCTCCTCGGCCGCTCAGGGCGCGCCGAGCAAAGCGAGTGAGACTCCCAGTGCTGTCCCTGAGGCGGCGTCTATTACCCACAGGTTCAAAGAAAGCAAAGCAGGTTTTTTTACCTGTTTTCTCGTCCGTGTTTTCCCCGTCCGTAGCTTGATGTATCTCGCGATCAATTCATTGCGACCTAGAGCAAGCCAAAGAGTAAGGACACGATAAAAGCAGGGTCGTCTTGCTACATCTTTTGCCCAGTCCTCGACACCCAAACTCTGTCGCTTCCCTAGTCCAAGGGGGGTCTTTCCCCCACACCCTGGCTTGGCCTAACCAAGGTTTCCCTCCGAGCCACATGTCAAGTGACAAGGCTTGGCCAGAAGGTGGTGCTGTCCTGGCAGCTGCAGGGCAAGACTGAGCCAGCTGGTGGGGAAGGCTGGAAGGGTCTGCCAGGGCCCGGGGGCCAGAGTTTACAAGCAATAAGGGGCCAGGACACAGTGACATGACCATGCTGGGGGACTGTGTTGACTGGCGGTTGTGCCCATCAGGGACACCCAGAAACGCCTCCCCTTGTGCGAGCGGGACTGGGCCGCCTTCGGAGGACAAGGCCGCCAACAGAAGGGCAGGAAAGTTTTCTCTGCTCCCTCCACGAGGTGCTCCGGCGTCACTGCTCCGAGACACCCTTCCCCCACTCCTGGGAAGCACACAGGCCACGCCACAGGCCAGAGCAGGAGCCCCGTGAACCTGCGGAAATGAGCCAGGAGCCCGGCATGAGACTAGGGTTCGAATGGCGCTGTGCCCTGCAAGCAAGAGTAGCAACCCCCAAACTTTCCCCATCGCCCAAGCTGCGTTTCCAGGGGCCCTGGCCTTTTGAACAGCGTTTCCCAACATCCTCGGCCTAATCCGAAGCAGAAGTGCTTTTGCTCCACATTTTACAGGCCAGCTGTGGCCAATCTAAATTCAAACCTCAGAGCAGCTGGGAGCTTTCTTCTCTCTCCTCCTCCCCTCCACTCCCCCCCAACCAATGTGGGGGTGGGGATGCATGCCAGATTTATTTTAATGGACCAGATGGTGGTGGTTGGAGTTAGTCAAAATGCCCTTGGAGCTAGTTTAGGATTTTTAAAAAAAAGAAGTAAAAAAGCCAAACAACTGTTGTAGCAGTGCCCAACGCCCGGCCTTCTGGGGGCAGGGGAAGGGGCTCTCTGAACAGGCCTCACACTGTAAGGGAAGAAGCACCAGGTCCCCTTGTCCCCTTCCTCACGTCCCTGCAATCCTGCCAGCAAGCCGGCAACAGACAGCGCCAGGTGCTGCGCTGGGTCAGCTGCGGCCCATGCCTCCCGGGGAGGGCACGAGAAGGAGGGTTCTGCACGCGGGAGTAACAATGCTCCTTCCAGAAAGAGGAGCAAGCACCCGGTACCCTTGCGGGGCAGAGAGGGGTTGGTTGTGTGTGTGTGTCCTGAGCAGTGCCCCGCCTGATGGTGGGACAAAGCATTCTCCCCCCCGCCCTAGCACCCTCACGGAGGCTGCGAGGTGTGTTAGCCCACCCTCACGTCCCCTTCACAGATGGGGAAACCGAGGAAGGTACGGCAGGGGGGCAATGACATGCCCAAAGACAACCAGCAGGTGAGGACTAGAACCCCTGTCTCTCGGGTCCCACCCAGTGCCCCATCCACTCAGCCATTCGTCCCTCACACACAGGCGTGGGCAGTTCTTGCCTGGGAATAATGGGGCTCCCCCCGACAGGGAACAGCTAGAGCGATTCCCTGTGCCCGGGGTTACCAGCAGCCCTCACAAGGGATGACTTGACTCCTTCCCCTTAGAAGGCAGCTGGAGCTGACCCTGCATCCCCATGAATGCCCATAAGGAAGTGCTGTGCCTTCCGCGGTCTCTAGACACACAGAATCAGGTGCGCTGAGGCCCTGCCGGGCTACCCCAAAGCTGCGAGGGAGAGGAGGAGATTCCAGTCCTCAGCACTGGGCCTCTCCCCACTCCCCCTGCCCCTGAGACAAGCCAAGATCCCACAGGGGCCTGAGGCCCTGAGAGGCACTGTCACATGCACTTCCCCCCACAGCCTCTCCACTGCAAACTGCACACTAGGAATAGATGCAGCCCAAGGAGAGTAAACAGGGAACTGCTAAGTACCTGGCTTGACGCAGCCATTCCCTGCTCCCTTCTGTCTGAGGTCTGCTCTTCGACCCTCACCCTGGGGCCTCTCAAAGCCCAAGAGCCCCAGACCCTACTGCTCTCGGCTTCTCATAGACTCATAGACTTTAAGGTCAGAAGGGACCATTATGATCATCTAGTCTGACCCCCTGCACAGTGCAGGCCACAGAATCTCACCCACCCCCTCCTAGAATAATCCTCTCACCTATATCTCCGATATTGAAGCATTCAAGTACTTTGAAGGTCCCAAGATGCAGAGAGTCCTCCAGCTGTGATCTGCGCCCCATGCTACAGAGGAAGGCGAAAAACCTCCAGGGTCTCAGCTTCTGCACTATTCTCTTCACAAAGCGCGAAAGCTGCCCGGTTATTGGCACCCAACGCTAGCTGTGACTGGAGAGGCACTGCTGGAGAGACTCAACGGGTGCCCAGCCTGCTACCTGCTCGCCCTGGAACCGGGGATCCTCACTCGGACTCCCTGTTGGAGCAAAAGAGTCTTGAGGCTGCCTCTAAGGGCTAGGGCCTGGGATTTAGTCACAGTGGGCCCTGGCCTAGGGGCAGCAGCAGCGAGGCCTAAGGGCTTGTACTCCGGGCGGGCCTCGCCCCACAGCATGATAGGCGTGAGGGGAAGCAGAAAACGGGCGGCAGGGGTTGGGCGATAGCAGTGGAGAAGACCATGAAGATCCCTGAATCTGAATGTGGCCAGGAGAGGACGTTGGGAGAGGAGCGGGCAGTGCTGGGAGGGGAGCGGGCAGTGCTGGGACTCGTTGGGAGAGGAGCGGGCAGTGCTGGGAGAGGAGCGGGCAGTGCTGGGACTCGTTGGGAGAGGAGCGGGCAAGGCTGAGACTCGGGGCATGGGGGCGGAGAGGAGAGGAAGAGAACGGTGGAGAAAGGAGGAAAAGGGAGGGGGTAGGGACTACTATGGAGGAGAGGGACTACAGGGTCAGTAGGCATCCTCAAGTCCCTCCACTTTACTGCGGGACTCTCCTGAGGGGGGAGGGAGAGGCTGTGGGGTGGAGCGGGTCAGTGTGAGGTGACTGTATTTCCTGCCCTCCCATTCTGGGACTCAGCGCTCCTCCGTCCCCACCATTCTCTCAGTTTTGAGCACAGCTGAAGTAACTACAAGCACGGGGCAGCCCCAAGGGCGTAGGCCACTGGAGTATTTTCCGCGGGTATGAACAGCGCACCCCTAGTCCCGCCATTGCAGGGTTCTCTGCACACAGGGAGCCTCTTCCAGGTGTGCTGGAAGTCCACAGAGACCTCAGGGGGTCCTCACTGCCCGAGTGCCGTGAGCTGGTCTCCTCCTCTCAGATGGAGCTTTGCAACTCTGTGGGTCTCACTCACCCAGCTCCTGTCTCTCTCCCCACCCAGAGCACCTGTGGCTACCTGTGCTGTGGGTAACTCTCTCCTCCCTCTGCATAGCTCTGTGTGTGTGTGTGTGTTGTGTGTGTAGAAGCGCCCACACACACACACGTGCACCCTCCCCCCCTCGTTGTACCATATACTTGCATGTGTCTCTCTCTGGCACTAGCACACACCAGCCCTACTCTGGGCTACCCGTGTGTGCACAAGAGTGTGTGCTACCAGCATGACAGCTCTGTGCAGGCCTCACTGTCGCTATGGTACCTGAGTGTGAAGTCTGTGCGTGTCTGGCTCTGGGAACAGCAGGAAGGCCTCAGCACATGCTCCCCCCCGCCCCTGTCTCTATGGTACCAGGTAGCTAAGGGTCACGCTCTCTGGGCCTGCCAGGCCTTGCAGGGCTGTCCCAGCCCCATGATTCACCAGAGGTTGTGCCCGTTCCCTCTAGGAGGGCACGTCCCTCCTCCAAATTACCACATTCCCCAAATTCCTCTCCCCTGACACCACCACGTGAACCAGTTGGATGGCTCTGTTAAAAATAACCTAGTGGGACAACCTTGCAGCCAATCCGCACGCTGCAGCATACCAGCCCTGGCCGAGTCCAACTCAAGTTACACCTGCTGTCTGGGAGCAAGGCACAGGCTCCCTGAGCTCCTGGCAACAGCCCTATGAGACAGAGACACCCCTTGCTGGACAGGCCCGGCCCTCCGCTGTCTCCCCATGCTCACAACCTGGCCACCATTCAAATGCTAGAGGTTACCACAGGTCACGACTGGCCCCCTTCCACCGCTTCCCTGGGCCTCTCTGAGAGCCGCTGAGAGCTTAGTCCCTCTGCAATTGGAGCATCTCTACCCCTCCAGCAAAGCGCCAGAGCGACAATGCTCCGGATCCCCCCCAGAGAATTGCCTCTTGCAGGCCTGCCTGGAGAGCAAGCCTTGCTCATGGGTTGGAGACACCCTCATGCTTGCCAAGGGAAGCCACAGAACGCCCCCATGTCCTGTCTAGGCCCCACGCCCGCAGGAGTCACAGAGGGCTCCCCAAGGAAAGGAGGCTACAACAGGGGATTGTAAGTATTTGCTTCATGCATGCGCATCTGCCTAGCCCAACACAATCCCAGTCTCAGCTGGGAGGGGACCTCGAGGTGCTTCCGTAATCTATCTAGCAAACAACGGCCAGCAATGCCGTCATGGGACACACGTCAGGTGCTGGGAGTCTTCCCTTAATGGGACACTGGAGTATCCGCCCGAGAGGCAAGCAGGTTGGGCAGGAACAAAAGGCAATGGGGTAACAGGAGATGAGCTGCCCTGCTTTGCCCAGACACAGTGGGGGAAGTGGGGTTTCCTGGCTCTGCTGGGGGTTGGTCATCGCTGACCCAGCCCTGGCTCAGAGCCCCCTCTGGGGCTGCCTGGCATGTCGAACACGTCAGCTTTGAGCTCAACCAGAGCCCTCTGCTCGGCCAATGACCCGTTTGCCATTGCTGCCGCTATTCCAGCATGGAGATACTTGGCCCATGGGGACCGCACAGGACGCTCCTACAGGCAGGAAACAGCGCCATGCGGAAGGGTCCGGAGGGCACAAACACAGCGAGGGGAAGAGATTAATTCAAGGCTCAGATCAGAAGACTTGGAAGGCCAGAAGGGCCCATCACAATCATCACAGAACCCGGCCTACCCCTGCCTGTAACAGTGCCACCCTCTGGTTGTTACTTAGGCCCCTACCAATGTTAAATATCGGGTAACTGAATAGTCGAGTAACCTCACGAATTCTTATCGGTTAGTCGACTATTCTAGAATCCCCGGGGGCAGGGCCAGCGGTCCATGCGCTCCGGCCCCACTCCTGAGGAGCCCCTTGCCACTCTGCGCTGCTGCCTCTGTATCAGAGGGAGCTTGGTCTGCAAAGAGAGCCAATTTAAAAGCCAGTTCCCCTGGAAGGCCTGCTGCCCGTCGCCCTGTGTTGCTGCCTCTGACAAAGAGGCAGCAGCATAGGGTGGTAGCAGCCCCTATTCATAGAATCACAGAATACTAGGACTGGAAGGGACCTCGAGGGGTCATTGAGTCCAGTCCCCTGCCCCCATGGCAGGACCAAATACCGACTAGACCATCCCTGAGAGACATTTATCTAACCTGCTCTTAAATATCTCCAGAGATGGGGATTCCACAACCTCCCTGGGCAATTTAGTCCAGTGTTTGACCACCCTGACAGTTAGGAACCTTTTCCTAATGTCCAACCTAAACCTCCCTTGCTGCAGTTTAAGCCCATTGCTTCTTGTTCTATCCTCAGAGGCCAAGATGAACAAGTTGTCTCCCTTATGACACCCTTTTAGATACCTGAAAACGGCTATCATGTCCCCCCTCAGTCTTCTCTTTTCTAAACTAAACAAACCCAATTCCATCACCCTTCCCTCATAGGTCATGTTCTCTAGACCTTTCACCATTCTCGTTGCTCTTCTCTGGACCCTCTCCAATATTTTCACATCTTTCTTGAAATGCGGTGCCCAGAACTGGACACAAGACTCCAGCTGAGGCCTAACCAGCGCAGAGTATAGCAGAAGAATGACTTCTCGTGTCTTGCTCACAACACACCTGTTAATACACCCCAGAATCATGTTTGCTTTTTTTGCCACAGCATCACACTGCTGACTCATATTCAGCTTGTGGTCCACTATAACCCCTAGATCCCTTTCTGCCGTACTC